ATGTGGCCAAGAAGCATAAGAAAAAAAATCACTGATCATTAGGGAGATGAAAATCAAAACCACAATGAGATACCATCTCACACCAGTCCAAATGGTTATTACTAAACAGTCAAAAAGTAACAAATGCTGGTGAGGTTGCAGAGAAAAAGGAACACTTACATACACTGTTGGTGGAAGTAAAATTTAATTCAACTATCATGGAAAGCAGTGTGGCAATTCTTCAAAGAACTAAAAACAGAACTACAATTCAGTGAGAAATCCCATTACTGAGTACATACTCAATGGAATGTAAATCATTCTATCATAAAGACACATAAACACTTACGTTCATTGAAGCACTATTCATAATAGCAATGATAGGGAATCAACCTCAATGCCTATCAATGGTATACTGGATAAAGAAAATGTGGTACATATACACCATGGAATACTATGCATCCATTAAAAAAAATGAGATAATGTAATTTGCACAAACATGGATGAAGCTGAGGCCATTATCCTTAGCAAACTAACACAGGAACAGAAAATGAAACACAACATATTTTCACTTATAAGTAGTAGCTAAGTGTTGAGAGCACAGGGACACATTGATGGTAACAAGAGACACTTGGGTGTACCAGAGGGTGAAGGGTAGGAGAAGAGAGAGGTTCAGGAAAAATAACTAATGAGTACTAGGCTTAATACCTGGGTGAATAAATAATCTGTACAACAAACCTCCATGGCACAGATTTACCTAGATAACGAATTTGCACATGTACCCCTGAACTTAATATAAAAGTTAAAAAAAGAAAGATGAGACTGAGAAGCAGGTAAGGGCCAGATCATAAGGTCCTTACCTTGATTAGATATTGTATTTCATATCAAGACCCACTTACTATTTATGATATTTTGGGCATATTTATTAACACTTTGTGTCAGTTTCTTCACTTATAAAGTGGAGATAATAGACTACCTACTTCCTAAAATTGTTATAAATATTAAAAGAGATAATATATGTAAAACACAATGTCTAAGACATAGAAATAATTCAATAAATGTTTGTTGTTTTTACTATATATTAGAAATAGTCTATCCATGACTGATAGGATCTTAGAATCAGATAGTCTGTGTTCAAGTCCTGGTTTTGTCACTTACAGGCTATGCAAGTCACTTAGGCTTCCTACGCCTCATTTTTGTCATCAATAACAATAGCAATATTAATAAATACATTTTCAAATGCTCAATATGCATCAGAAAGTAGCACACAAAATTATATGGCCTCAAATGAGCATTTGAACATGCACTTATTAATAGTGTTATTGTTATTGAAACTCTTTCTGGCCTTACATATAAGTGGAAATAGGCAGCCATTTTGTGGAATGTTTTCCAAAATGTTTGACCTCAGAGATGACTGAGTTCAATCTGCCAATTTTGCTAATAGGGGAACTCAGGCATAAAGAAAGGAAGGGACTTGCCAAAGCTTACACAGTGAGTAGGAGAATTGAGTACAAAACCAGATTTGGGCTTCCAGCCCAAAACTCTTTGTTACAGCACAGAGTATGCACTCAGATCCTTCACTGGGAGCACATTTTGCTGAAAGGAAAGGTGGGGAGGCAGTAAGGGAAGGAGGGGTGGAGAGAAAAGAGATAGCAAGAAGTGGGAGGGTTTGTGTGGGGGGGGTGTGGGTCAGAGAAAGAGAGGGGAGGGGGAGAGAGTCTCTTACCTAAAGCAAGAAAAAGCACAAGAAAGAGGGTGTTTAGGCCATAACACGATCTGCATTCCTGACCAGAAGTTGGCTAGGCTTGGGCCTTCATTAGTCTTCTGGAATCCCTGTGGGTTGAACCAGAGCATAAACACCCAAAAATGTATTAACTAAGTGCAAATTTTGGACAAGAGCACTTCAGGGTCTCATAACCCATTTAAAAACAAACATTAGAAATGCGATATTTAAGAATCAACTTTTTTGTACATCCTTACATTCATTCAGAAGTTTAGTATTGGTTTTCATTTTTTATATTTATTGAGAACAGAGCATCTTCATCTTGAGAATGTATACAACCATTAAAGTTAAATCCAGTCCTGCTATGGAGCATGAAATTCTGTTTCATGTACGTTTGCTCTATTTTAGTCTATAGCACTTATTATCATCTGTTCTTGTTACATTTTTTTATTTCAATCTGAGAGCAGGTACTTCTTATTAACTGACCAGATTAGAAAAAATAATCATGGTGGACACCTTAGTCCATTCTTCTAATAAGCCTGTTGATCTGGTTCTCCTGTTGCCAGCATCTTCACCTTCTACAAAATGGGTGGTCTTTTTCTTCATTCCATCTCATGGAGAGGATAATTTGAAGGGCCACAGAAAGTTTTCAACAGTGTAGATCTCATGAATCTGATCCCCCATGCAAATGACGCCATATTTACCAAGAGATCTATCAGTTAAAGCGTTATCTGTCAAACCAATTCGCTTCTTATTAATTTTGCCATAAGCACGCTTGTAGATTAGTTTATTTACTGACTTCAGATTTGGGTACTCCCATGCAATATATGGTTCTACAATCCTCAGCTTGTTACTTGAAGCCTTATTGAGCTTCACAAAGGTTCCATTGAAGACTTGATGAAAGCAAAGAAGCTGCAACACCTTTCAGACCTTTGGCCTCATACCATTAATACATCTGATCCTTATGATGAATGCCTATTTGGATTCTGCAGTTATGTAAAAGTTGCCAGCTTTTCTTATCATTCTAGCCATTTGAATTTCAGTTCTGTACACCTGCCTATATTCCTTGTGATAGTGTTCTGCTGTTTCATAGATAAACTTCCTCCTTGTTTTTTTGAAGCATTCTTGGGCAAACTTCTTTCTCAGGTGCTCGATCTTCAGCTTTACAAAATTCCTTTGCTTTTTCTTAAGGGTTTCTGGCACCACGGAAAGTTTTTTCTTCTTCTCTTAAACATACTCCATGGTTCCAGCCAGAAAAAAGTGTTGTTACTTTTTAACTTGTTTATTTGTTTGTTGGTGGCTTTCTCGCGCTGACTCTAGAGCAAAAGTTTAAAATGACAAAAACAAATTTATGTTATTGTCACCATTGTAGCCCCAATGCCTAGAAGAATGCCTGACACACGGTTGGTATTCAAGAAATTTGTTAAATGAGTAAATGAATGAACTCTGCATCCCTAGAAATTCTCCCAGCCAACTTGTTTCTCAGGAACTTCAAGCTCCCTTGAACTGGGTCTATTCAAGAAGTTCCAGGTTCCCAATTGAGGAAAGCGACCCATACTTTTGGTTTTGCTACCACCAACTTGAGGAGGAAAAGCAACAATGTGAAAAGGAGACAACTTACCCTGGAACATCATTAGAAAGCATGAGGGCTCTTTGAGACTACCTTCTCATATACAAGGTCTGAGCTACTGGATGATAAACAGGAAGGAAAGCTGTCTGCTAGTGCCACACAAGGCATGCCAACTTGAAACTCGACTTCCTTCACTACCACATTTTAGGCCTTACAACATTAGACCTGCTCTTCTGAGGTCCTAAGCTCAGTATCTCTCTGGATATTTGGGAAAGAAGAACTTCATTCCCAGGCCCTCAGAGGTGGAAGGAAGAAAAACAGTATGCAGTATATGGTTCTTAAAAGTCTGCATACAGTGGAGATTTTTTACTTAGTAGCCTGTGCTCTTTTGGTTACTTGCTCATAAAATATAAACAAACTGCTTCATATTTTATAAATAATTTCACCAAATCCACCAGAATCAGGAAACATTTTGGGGAAAGATTCCATGCCTATATGAAATGAGAACACAAGCTCCCAATCACTGCAGGTGGTTTTGGAAAAGAGGGCTGTCTAGAACAGGTGGTATATGTTTTGGTCTCGGTGGAACACAAAATGAGTTCAAGGGAGCAGGACAAAAAAAGTCTGCAGTGCAAAAGGTCCACCACAAGGCAAGAGAGGCTGAGGCTTAAGAGATGATTTACCATTTATCAGGGCAATCATCTCTTCCCATCCTGCTCCTACTTCAGACAGTCATTTGAATTAACCAGACTCCTTTTCTAAGATGCAAACACCAAAAAAGGTTAAAAACAGTCAAGGAGGGAAAAATGAGGGATTAATCACTCACATCTTAATGTAAATCTGTTCACCCTGTCACTGTCTTGCCAGAGCTTTATGTGTTGTGTTTTTGTTCAGGAAGAAGCAATATTTCTGGAGAGGCTGGGAAGAGATGTTGGAGAACACAAAGACCACAGGAAAAATAAGTAGAGAGCATGAAGTTTGGGAAAACTTATTAAACATAAGATACAGGGATTGGGGGTGGCGACAAAAGGTAGAAGAGGGCATATAAAGATGTGAAACCAACAGCTTCTGTCCCTGTGTTTCTGAGGACCTGGCCTAGGACATCATTAATGACAAAGCTTCTCTAATTTTAAATGTAGCCTAGGGCTGATCAAGCTAGTCATGATCAGAAAATGCAGAATTTGCTGTCATCTCATGGGGAACTAACGCACTCTATGGTGCTTGAGATACTAACATGATCTTCCCTGAGAGTTAGAGTCATGAGCATGATATTCAGAAACTCTGTCTTGCTACCTCAGAACCATCACCTGTTCTACATATTAATCTGTTAGCCACTTAGCTTCACATTTTTCTTATTGCTGTCAGATGATCTGTTTGCCCCAACTTTTCCCAGGCTTCCCAGTTGTTGTCCTAGAATATTCTGTCAAATCCTAGAAATTGAAATTCGAAGTCAGCTTGGCTAGCAACCCCAAATAAATCAAACCCAAGTTAGAAAAATCAGGAAAGGAGGTCGTTAGTCTTTTATCTTCACCCCTAAAAAGTTACCCAGGGATTTGCCATTTGCCAATTCTTCATTAGTCTTCAGATAGCCTCAGAAATTAAGCACTGAAATTAATTTGAAAGCAAATATATTCTAATAATTCCTTTTTGAAAAGACGGAAGGAAGATAAAGGAGAGATGCCTTTGAGTGGTCCCAAATAAAGAAAGTTGAATAATTGATCAAAATATAACTGCTATATAATTCAAATATATTTTATTACATTTAATAAACATTTAAAATCCAAGTTGAAATTACAGCTGAAAATTTGCTTTGACTTTCGGTGTAACATAGTCACTTTTATATTTAGTTATACATTACATTCTCTTGGTTACATTGTTAATGTGACATTTTTATTATTAGCAATTTATATTAACTATAAAACTGGAAATTAAAAAAGTGGAATATAAAAAAACTTAAACATGGAAATTACGTAACAAGAAACATTTAATAATATATTTTATTTCAACTTAGTTAACATCCCATTAAATGGTTTGGTATCATAATCATAAAATTTTATAATGTTAAGATGCAAGGGCACCAAAATGTTCACATATATTTTATAGTTACAAGAAATGAAAAAAAATGAATACTGAAAGAAATAGATTATTCATACTTTTATTACTAATTTGATCTTACCATATAGTCTAACAACTGAACTGAACTTAACCTAATTTCATTTAACTGAACGTAATGCCTTACGTATTCCATCTATAGCCTTTTCTCATAAGACTATATAATGTGTAATTACTTTTAGGACTTTCTTTTGGAAAAAGTAATGCTAATTTTGAGAATTTTTTACTGTTGTTTTAGCATTTTTTCAATGTACTCCTAACCCAGACACAGACTTTACAGTTTTTAAAGTTTCATTATGCTCACAGATTTTTACTTAAAAGTCTTACAATTTTTAAGTCTGCATGTTATCAGAAAGAAAAATAAGTTAATGAGTTATAAAAATTTGTTTATTGTTTTAGAATTTTTTTTTTTGTTATTGTTCTGTGCTTCTTAATTTCTTAACCACTTTCTGGCACAAGTTTCTGGTAAGCAACTTACAGGATACATTTTTCCTGGAAGTTTTACTTTAAAATTCTTAGCATTTTTAAATTGCCATGTTATCCAAATATTTTAAAAATTGATTAATGCGCATTTTAAATATCTTTGTTGTTTTTCAGGGTTTAACATTTAATTTTGGTTTCTGTTGTTGATGCTGTGTATGTGTGTATGTGAGAGTTTATTTCCACTGCTCCTGACTTGAGCACAAATGTAACATCTTTCAAGCTCAGAAGTTTATTTACAAGTTTCAATATTCTTAAATACAGCTTCAGTTTTAAAATAGTAAGAGTTTTAAAAATTTTTGTTGTTTTTGCTGAAGTAAATTATAAAAAATGATTTCTCTTTTTTTGTAGATTTTTAAATACTATTTTCAATTGCTTTTAAACAGGGTGACAGTTTAGCGGCTTCCTAGCTGCATTTTGTTCCAAAACATCATATGAATGTTATAGTGTTTTGTAAGATTTGCAGATGCTCGGAAAATGCAATCTCTAAAGTTTGTTTGTGCTTGTTTGTTTTACAGCAGTTTGATTTTTGACTTTTTTCCCCAAAATTTGTCCTTGACCAGGAGACAATTTTAGCCACTTTGTAGCTGCATTGTGCTTCACAATTTCATGCAAATAACATAATATTTTTAAATTTACAGAGCCTGAACAAATGGTAATGAAAATGTTACAAATTATTTTTGAGTTTTTTTATTTTTATTTTTATTTTTCATGGGGTTCTGCAGGTTTTTTTTGTTGTTGTTGTTCTAGTTTGGTTTGGTTTGTGTGTTGTTGTTTTTTTCTTAATTAGCTTCCAGTCTGAGGGCACAGATACAGCAGCTTCTGGCTATATTATGCTCCAAAATTTGATAAGAAAGAATAAGTATTTCCTGGTTATATATCTCTACTCCTCCCTCCAAAAATGATTAATTCAGGTTTTAATAAATATTTCAGATTTACAGTTTGATTTTTTGGTATTACTTTGTTTGATTTTTTTCAATTTGCTCCTGACCTGAGCACAAATGCAGCCCATTTCTGGCTGTGCTGTGCTCCAACATATAATATGGAGGATAAATATTTTATAGAACCTAGTTTCCCAAAATGAAGATAATTTGACATTTTAAGAAAAAAAAATGTTGGTGTTGCTCAAGTATTTTTATTGACATTTTGTTGTTTTAAGTAATTTTCCAGCTTTTACTTGTCAGATACATATTTAGCAGCTTTCTGGCTTTGAAGTTTCACATGAAAACTTTAATGTAGTGTAAAAACAATGAAATTTTTAAAACTCATACTGCTGATGACTATAAATGTGTAAATCCCCTTTATTTTCTCTTTATTCCCACCCACATACATGACAACACAATTTATGTTCTGTTTTCAAAATGCACATAACATATTTTACTAATGTTAAAAATTAGATACATTTCGTATTAATAATGTTAGGCTAAAAATACTCTTGTGCTAAAATAAACTCAACGACAATTCAAAAAAAATTTTAAAACCTAGCGTATATCAGTAGTAACACAATTTTTTTAAAAAAAATCCCTGAACTTGTTCTATATTTATAGGCCCAACCCAATTACCAGATATCATTGGAATGGAAATACCATTTAGAAAGTTTCAAAGTCATCTCCATATTATCAAATGTCACTGGCCACCTGCATATTGAGATACAATAAAATTCCAACCAAGCAGAAGAGTTTGGAAATCCATCTTGTTTGTTGTAATTAGACTTGACCTATAATTACTGAACAAAACAGCAATAAAAATGTACAGCATACCTTTAAACAAATGTATCTGACTGGATTTGGTGCATTCTTCTCAGTATCTTAGCTTCAAATCTTTAATTTATAGCATAGGAAAAATTATAGGAGAAACCATATCTGGACCTGAACACAATTCACATGCCTAAAAGGTGGATTCTAGCATTAATTCACCACCATTATTTGTTGTTTGATCACTCACTTCCTCTTGAACAGCTGGAAGGGAAGGCTTTGTGGTCAAAGGTGTTTCAGTCTTAAACAGGGACTCCATTCTGATGTGGGTATTGATGTAGAATGACTTCTGAAAGGACTCAAGGGTGAAGTAATAGATGAAAGGGTCAAAACAACAGTTCAGAGTTGCAAGGCACAAGGTGATTGGGTACATGATCTTTGCAAATCTTTCCAAAAAGCAATTAGTAATAGCTTGGGAGCGCACCAGGGCATATAGGAAGAGGACAGAGTTGTAGGGTACAAAGCATACCACAAAGACTGCCATATGTACTGTGATCATTTTCAGAACTTTTTTCTTATTGGTTCCAATTTGAGACAGAGTAGCAGGCTTGCGAAGAGTTCTCAGCACCACAGAAGAGCAAGAGACATTCAATATCAGAGGAATGATAAACCCAACAACTTCAATAAATATTGTGATCTTGGATAAATAAGTCTTCCAGACACGTTTGGAGAAGCCTTCAAAGCAGGTGGTGGTTGCATTGTTGACATTAGTGGTGGAGAACAAAGAGGCTGAAATACCACCACTGAGGACTAGGATCCAGACACCAGCACACACAATGGCAGAATTCCTCCTAGTCCTAATAGTACGAGATCGGAAGGGATAGACAATGGCCAGGAAACGATCCACACTAATACAGGTGAGAAAGAGCATGCTCCCATAGATGTTGGTAAGGAATGCAGTCCCAGAGATCTTGCAGAGGGTGTCACCAAATGGCCAGTGGCGGTTGAAGTTGTAAAATATTTTGAAAGGTAGGGTACAGACAAAAAGCAAATCAGAGAGGGCTAGATTGGTGATAAAAATAGCGGTCTCACTTCTCATTTTCATGCGGAAACAGAAGACAAACAGAGAGACGCTGTTGGTTATCAGACCCAGGATGAATACAACACTGTAGACAGCACCATTCAGATTATACTTGAAGGAATCATCAACAATGCAAGTATTATTGGCAGTAGCATTGCCCAACCTGGGTCTGAGGCTTGAATTTGAATCTTGGAATTGGAAGTCAATGAATCTTCTGTCACCCATGGACTTTTTTTCAGGAGGCCTGCTGGCTGCAGGGGTTCACCACTCTGACACTAGGGACCGGTAGAAAATATTTTCCTCCTATCAGAGACAAGATGGAACAAATAATCAAATTTGCCTTCCATCCATGATTTCTGCATAAGATATTCTGTCCACCCAGATTGGAAGAAAACATGCATATTCCATTTGGTTTGACAAGTACTTCGTTGAACATCTACCATATATTTAAAGGTATGTTTAAATATACCTACAAGAGTATGTTGCAGGAGCAGGAAAGCTCACACTCAATACAGTAAGTGCAATATTATAGCATTGTAATGAACATGGGTAAGGTGTAGGTCACCAAAGAGTCCAAAAATATAAAACTAAGAGTTAAAACAGAATTTATGGGACTGCAAACCTCTAACATTAAAGCCAGGCTTTATTCACTATTATATGCTTGCACTTACCTTCTACAATAAGTACTGCCAGTACATTTATTTTATTTGGAAAATGCATTTATAATAGAAGCCGTTTCCCTTCCGCCCAGAGTCCCTCCAATCTGCCCACTAGTGATCCTTTTAAGCAGCATGATTCTAGCTCACTTGCTATATATTGTTTTGTGATTCTCAAGTTGATACATTTCAAATAGGTCTCCTGAGTTTTCCATTCAGTTTTTTTATGATTTCAATCATTTTATTTTACTTTTTATTTGCATTATGTTTAACTGACAAATCGTAATTGTGCTACAGTTATGCAAGTACAAGGCGATATTTTAATATATGTATACCACATGAGGTGATTATGTCAAGCTAATTAACATATCCATCCCCTCACTTCAGTTTATGTTCCCAGGAACATACACACTATACCCACAGCAAGCAGTATGCAAATGCCTGACACTTCTGCTCTGCTGCTCTGAGTAATCAAACTTTGTGGGAGAGAAAGCACAGACAAGAAAGGATTACATTCTCAATCCTGAGGAGAGGGCATGGGAAAACTGCCACTATGGCCCTATTCATAGCTCCCCTTGCTTGAACACATACCACCTTTGCCGTCTAGAAGTGAGGGTGTGGTGCTGGGACTTAACACAGCATTAGAAGCAAGGAGTTCTATTTCTGACTCAGACACTGGTTCACTCTGGAACTTGGCTATACTCTTTCTCTTCCTTGAATAAACTTTACCCTTAAGCCTCACAGCTAAAGCTAGGAAGATTCAACAGGGCTTATGAATAGCTTTATGAGCTTGCCAGTACTCGGCCTTACCTAACCACAAAGAAATATTATATAAGTTTGTTTCCTTCTCCCTTCCTGAAACAACTATAAATTTATATCTCTGTCTTTTTTGGTACCCTGAAGTTCACATTAGAAACACACTTTTCTAGTGTCATGTATACATTGTACCTCAGAAAGCCTCCCAACTTGAGTTTCAGCCTTAACTACACAATTTGCTCAAACAGGACAATCCAGGAGTGTGCCCCCAAGGTAATGTCTCCCATACAGGTATGATTAAAAAAACAGAGAGGCATTTGGCTCTTGAGATGATTCTGAAGAAGAATCAATAATTTCCTCTTTCTTACTGTTTCCTTTCTTTTGACTAAAAGAAACCGTATTTCTAACTATTAAATCCTCTTCAATAGCCAACATATTGTGCACTAAATGGAGACAAAGGACCAACACTTGAGCCTCAGATGAGATGAAGAAGGAAAAATATATGCTGATGCAGTTAATTACATCTTCCACTGCAATAAGCATTAAACTACTATCTTCTGCAAAACTCTGCTGCCAATTATTCCAACAATTAATCACCTAAGGGTGTCTGACAGTGTTCTGTAGCTGCATTTTTATTGACACTGGACAGGAAGCAAGTTCCCTAGAGGTTGACCAAAAAGAAATCTGACCCTCAACTTTTAAATTTGATCTACACATGGAGCTAATTCACAGTGGCCACAATTGTTCCCTTTTTAAATTTCTAATGATAGTAAAATGCAGGTATACCATGTTTGGGGTCTTTAAGGCTCCTGGAAGAAGTAAAGTTAGCCTTTTAGCCCTATAATTTTGAATAATCAAATCACTTCACTTCATGAAGTGCTAAACTTTCACTTCCCAGTACCCTAAAAAAGTTGTCTTACCGAAGGCCTTCTCTGCATCTATTGAAATCACAACAATCCTGCATGATCTGCCCATGTACCCCAGAACCTAAAGTACAATTAAAAAATGAAAGAAAGGGAGACCGAGACACTTAAAAGAGATGAGGTGATTAAACAGACATCTGGAAGAACACTCCAGGCAAATGCAACACCTAGAGCAAGTTGCCTCCATTGGGAATTTGCGTGATGTGTTCAAGGGAAGCCAGTGTGGTTAGTGTAGACTGAACTATGGTAAAAATAGATAAGGAGATAGGAGAAGAGAGGCGGGGAGCAGAGTAGGTAAGGCTGTGTTGGTAACTGTATGACTCTTTTTAGGACACTTATTCTTTCTTTTTTCTTTTCATTTAATATATGGTCCTCTTTCAACTAATTCTGTTGTAAATTAGAAGATATTTATCCAATTTTATTCTGCCTGGATGGCTACCCAGATGTCCCAACACCAGTTAATGAATCTTCCATGTTTCCCCACTAATTTGAGGTCTAACTTTGTGATGTATTAAATGTGCATAATTGACCAGACACAGTGGCTGATGCCTGTATCCCAGAACTTTGGGAGGCTGAGGTAGGCCGATCACAAGGTCAGGAGATCGAGACCATCCTGGCCAACATGGTGAAACCCTGTCTCTACTAAAAATACAAATATCAGCTGGGTGTGGTGGCACACACCTTTAGTCCCAGCTACTCGAGAGGCTGAGGTAGGAGAATGGCTTGAACCTGGGAGGCAGAGGTTGCAGTGAGCCAAGATCAAGCCACTGCACTCCAGCCTGGCAACATGGCGAGATTCCATCCCAAAATAAAATCAAAATAAATAAATGTGCATAATTATTTTAGCTATAACTAGATCCCTGTTCCAATGACCTTCTATTCTACCTGTACACACTAATTTATTTTTGAAGGTTTCCTTATTTTTTTTATAATTCAATGTGAACTACAGAACCATCTTCTTTATTTTAAAAAGAAAAGCCAAGTTGTATTTTTATTGCAATACTATTAAATTTATTAATTAACTTTGTAAAATTAATCATTTTGTGATATGTAATGATGTGCAGTCTTTCTATCATAAAGTAGTGTGTTTTCTAATTTTAAGTATTGTTTGTACTTTAAATCATATTTTAAAATTTCTTGAAATTGATCTTGTACATTTATTAAATTTTTCCCATGTACTGTAAAAAAAAAAAAAAAACAAGAAAAGCTAACTTGCTTTTGCTCCCTACTGAAGACAGTCCAGAACTCAGGAAGATAAGGTCTTGAATGCAGAGTATACTAAAATAGTTTTTGCTTTGCTCCATGAGCGCCAACCAAGTCAGAGTGCTTCTCATCTCCAGAGCATTTCCTTGTTTGACTCTTGTCAAAGCTAATCAAAGTTGATACAATAGTTTTCAGACGAAGATGAAATCTATTGTGTTCTTACCTATAGATACTTAGCAGTGAAATAGATTTAAAAATACACAAATGTTGTGAAAAATACAGCTCAAAACAATCCTGCTGGAGCAATAGGGAATACATTCAGACTGTTGCTTCTCAAATTAGTGATTTCTAACAAATAAGACTCCTTAAGGAAATTTTTTAGGTCAAGTCATAAACACAGGTCATAATCATACAGGTTTTATATCGATATTCATATGCATTGGTTGATGTTTCATAATAGTTTTCAAAACAAAACCTAACTTTATGGCGTTCCATATGGAGGAAACTACAGATAAATGTTTCACTCAAGAATGGAGCTAGGAAATTGATCTACATCAACCTCTTTTATTTTTGATGCAAGAAACATTCTTTTAAAAGTGGTGTATCTATATCTAATCTGGTTTTCACTAAGATTATTAAGGCTGCTTTGTCCCTCCATTTTATTTGAGGAAAACAGGAAACTGACATGGGCCTCAATTTGATAAGATCCTATTCTCAGTGATTGACTTGATATTTTTTTTTCTTTTCATCAAAAAAGAAAAAAAAATACTTCAGTCTCTCATTAACACTTCACTTGAAAACGCAGTCCAATCTCTGGGGAGTAATGTGGTCTGGTGCTCAACATCATGGGGCCAAAGATTGCATCAGCCCCGCTAATGTGAAATTTTCCCTAGTACTTAGTTACAGAGTAAGACAACTGCAGATAAATTGCTCAACCAAATATTATGAAATTGTCTTGAGTCTTGAGACTCAATATCTCATCTCAGCAGAAGCCCCAGATCTTTTGGGACAATATTTGGGTGTTCCCAAAAGAACTCATTTCCAATTTCTGTAAGGGTCATATGTGCCAGCCAGGATTTTAGCATTATTCCTTATATTTGAGCAGCCAAATCAGTTATCAATTTGGACACGAATTCATGTGATATATGCCGACACTTAACCTGATAATAGCAATAAAAAAGTCTCCCACATCTAAAGGTAAATCCCAATGGCAGAGAGGGGTTGAGCTAAAGAATCAACATTCATCTACATCAAAATTGCCTGAATTACAACAAGTTACAATTCCTCCATCCTTTCTGGGTCTTCAAATCATTTACTCTTTAATAAGTTGGAACTATTTTTACAACAAAAGTTGGACAATTAAATTAGGAATTTGTAGAGAAAGTTATTATCAGGAGGGTAGGACTCACCACATTAGTTCGAACCAAATGTTGGCAACAATTTTATCTAAGACTGGAATAAAAAATTAGCTTCCTGGAGGCACTGTAGTTATAGATTTCCTCCAATGGGTGCTGTGAAATAGAAATAGTCATAATAGTGTGCCATAAAGAGAGCTGATAAATTTTCAATAAAATGTATACTTTCAATAAAATGATCTTATAAAAGATCATACAATAGAAAAAAGTATTATATGATATAAAGGAGAGTAAATGAGAACCAATACATTTAAAATGGTATTTACATGCATTGGATTTCATTATTACACAATTGTAGGTAACAATGTATTTTCCAACCTGTCACTACTGTGCTATATTTTATTGGTAGTACTGGCTAAACACTGAAGCATAAAATCCATGTGTGATAACCTATAATCATTTAATGATAATAAGTGACAAAAGGCATAAAAATATTTCCCCCACTTCCATAAGGTAATGCATTACATTCAAAATAAGAAAACAAAGGAGAATTTTGTTTTGGCCCAAATTTACATTGAGTCTTTTTTTCTTGGCCATAGCTGTTACTACTGGGCAGGATCCTTAATAAGGGAAGAGGAAAGATGACTGGAATAACAGGTGGAGACTCCACTGTCTTGTCTCTTACCTGCAGCCCACACAATTTCTCTCTCCCCTGAGCTACAGTGATATAATCAAGGCTTCAATTACTGGGTATTAGCACACTGACTGAGAATCACTGCACCTTTACCAGGATGTCCCAGACCTACCCAATATAGCATGTCTGTAACATCTCTAATTCAAACTCTGCACAAAATATTTGAATAGAACCAGAATTACTCTGCAGTGGAATTCTTACAAATAGCAACTGCGTTTAGACTTTACCCATTACAGTGCCTCTACCTGTAAAATAGAATTATCTGCTAGCTCCAAACTTACACTATTGTTACATCTCATCCTTTTCTAAACAGAGGCAGCTTAAAATAAAGCAAACTCTAAATAGTAATACAACTCTCCCAAAATGATTTTTTATAAACTAAAAAACCAAAATAAACAAGTAAAATGATTCGATAATTTAAGATATATTGAGATCACCTTAATATTAAGGAGAGTTGATTTTCACACTCCTCCAGAGATCTGTATTCCTGGAATGAAATGAATATTATTTTATTGGTTTATCTTAAAGGAAGATAGAAGCATTAACATTTCTTCATTTTATGCCTTTCACAGTTGATAAAGATTATATAGAAAACTTTTTATTCAAAATTCAAGCAAACTGGGAAGTTCAAATACCCAGAATTTTTTAGAGTTAATATTAATTGAGTGTAATCACACCCAGCCCCATCATGAGCTCTGTGAGAGTAAGTCACAGTCCATTTCTGAGTCTCAGTTTCTCTTCTCCTTTAATCTTTGGTCTTGATTGACAGAAAAGCAACCTTCAACGAGTGTCGTGTTGGTGGCCTTACTAGCTGTTCTTTTCCACCATTTATTTTCACCTGCTTACATTCACCACTGTAAAACATTTTTTATTTCCTCAATGTCTGCAAGGATGGCCATTCCTTTTTATTAGACTTAATTAAATAATTTCTAAATGTATTTAAAAATTAGAAATAAATAGTATTAATACCAGAAGCTAAGAATCACAGAGAAAGATGCCACTAATTTCCTAAAGTCTTCCAAATTCCCATACTTTCCTCATCCTCTGTCCTGCTCACTTCAGCAGGCATATCAACTCTAATTGTTTAGGTTTCAGTCTTCAACCCTTCCCACCTGTTTACTGGTCACTTCAGCCTTCATAATGTGAGGTTATCAGCATACTTCAGGACGTAAGCCATGTAGAATTATTAATCATTTACCCTTTGCATTGTTCTGATAACTGATTATTTATCCACTTAAAGTAAGGCTGGATTCCCAGCAGTAGGTAACCTTTCATCAGGCTCCCAATCTCCAATATTCACAAACAAATTAAGGTTTTTTTCTTCCCCATCAAGAAGGCTAAAGGCAGACTATATATGATGGCCATATACACAGACAAAAGACAACTGCACAAGTAGGCGGTGACCAAACCACAGCAAGGGCAACAATTCTCACTGCATTTTCTCACAAAGGCAATTGAATAGATCATGCTTTAACTAAGCTTGGCCTGAGTGTTGCTGTGGGGCATCTTCTAGGTTCTCCCTTTAACTTGCAGAGAGTACACATTCTGAAAAACCAGCCTGATTGTTCCAGTAAGGCTTAATTCCCATCTCTAATTGGCAGGAGATTCTTCAGAATGTAGATGCCATCAAGTTTATCAGGTGAACTCATCCTTCTTGGCAAGAGTGCAACTTTTCATCTGTGACAAGGCAAAGGATTTTATAATCTATGTTGATGGGGTATGATATTTGGAATTTTGCTCTGAAAAATAAACATGTTGTAAAGCCATTGGATAATCTGAATCTCAGGTTATTATTATTATCTTCATGTTAGTCAAGAAAAAGAAAGATGCTATAATTTGGTAAGATAGCAAAGTGAATAACCTCACCAAGCTCTGAAATGTACTATTGAATTTGTCTGGTCTTTTCCACGCTGAAATAATGATAAATTACATTGCTGAATTTCCTTTTAAAAAGTAACTGAAATACAGTATTTATAACTCAACAAGATCTTTTTACTGAAAATACTTAAAATATACAACAAGAGAATTTAAAGATGTCACATTGATGCATTTGCATGGCAAACAGCAATTAATTTTACATGTAATAGCAAATTCGGTTTATGACAGAATTAGTTTTTCATTCAAACATGATTCTTCCTTTACGGGCAAGTTCATGAATTAGTCAATATAGCAAATGTCACATTCTCCATAAATCAATTAAGCATCAAAGACATGTCATGTAAAGTTTTACTAGAAGAAACCTCATCATAATACAAGCCACGTTAGCTCACAACAAATTGTAAACCTAAGAAATACAAAGCAAGCCAACATACTTTCTAAATTGTTCCACACTGTGATTTTAAATTAGCTCTTTAGAACAACTGTGTTTACACAAAACAGCAGCCTGAAAATCCTGTATCTCTTTCACGGAAGCAATATTATCGCCAAAACAATGGAAATTCTCATTTTTTACCATTCAACACGAAGATCCTTCTTCAGTACTTCAGAGATGAAGTCTCACTTCTTTCCTTAAACTCTCAAAGCATCAGTGTTTCCACTGTAGTTTGTTATGCTATTCCCCCACCCCCAAACGCCAAAATCAAATCTTTCTCCAAGAGAAACTTACCCCAAGAAAGAGTGTGCTAGATGAGAGAATGTGCTGATGCCTGTAGATAATTAGCTAATAAACATGTAAATGGGCAACTCGCCCTTTGGAAGTGCATATTTTTATCCATTTTTTTTTTCCTCAGGGAAAGGTTAGCCCAGTCTAAAGCAGCAGACTCTGGGCTGCCGCAGCTTCTTACTGCAAACCGCTCATTCTGAAAATGTGAGCTTATTTACATTTATCTCTTTCCCTTTGTTAACGACCGGCTCTCTTGAATGCTGTAGCCCGCATGCCTTTAGCAAACAGGACACAAAAAGGCCTGAAGTCCAAGCTGGAGCTGGAGCCGAGGCCCAGGGGAACTCTTGGGGGTCTCAATAGGAAATGCTTTTCATTGGATAAGGAGGCATTATTAGGAGTCTAGATCCCGCCCAATCCCCTGTGCTCCATGGTTCCCTCAGTCACCAGTCACTGGACTGAAAAAGTTTTTCCTTAAAGAGCATTGCCCAGGAAAAGCAGTTTCACAGTCAAGAATTAATGGCTTAAGTGCCACTTGACAATGTAAAAAGTGTCTTTCCTGACCAATTAATTCACAGAGAAAGCCTGTGTGCCTGTCTTTGCTGCAAGACTGCAGAGGAGGAGACAAACCTTCAAACGAAGAGGAGTGTTTCAATTATGCATAACATGTTCGCTCCTATTTGTTTAAAATAATTACACCAATAATATTGAAAATAATAAGTAGGGGGCAAGGAAAAGCCAAAAATGAAAGGTACCATAAATATATTCCTATCACACTGCAAAATTCAAACTCCCACCATAACAAAAATATAGAGTAAAATTTAATACTATACTCACTTACTTAAGCCAGATACGTGCCCTCAGATAGAGATGTACTAGGGTCCCAGAGCTCCTGACACCCACCTTCCAAGGACTAGGGAGTGTTTCGTAACAAAAGGAGGGTCTACACTTCTTAAATAATTCTTAAATAACTGCCTCACAGTAAATCTAATTACCATGAAAATTTCAGAGTTCTGCTAAAAAACAAAATAAATAGTACAGATGCAATCTGTTTATAATAGAGAGTTATCTGCAATTGTTTACCTCCTCCTACTTCCCTCATGGGAAGTTTTTCTTTTCTAATTTTCTACAGGTTTACTGCCTTGGTCACTCACACTTTTTTCTTTCTCCCTATATTTTCCTCTTCCCCTCCCTCTCCTTGATCTGATTTTGTGGCAGAAACCCACTCATCCATCTGTAACTTCATTGTTGGCCCTTCCCCTCTGCCAGCCCGCCCCTGCAAGCCTTCACTACTCTATCTCCACCCACTGCCAACACCAACAACAACAACAGCCCCTCCCCCTTCTCTGGAATGAAATTCTCTGACCAGGGATAAGGTGCTTTCTTTCTCTTGGCAGAGCACAGCCCCTGGAGTCTTGGGGGATCCTCTATCTATTTCAAAACTTCAGTTTGTGCAATTAAGTTGTCTCCCAAGTAGGACATGTTTTAAGCTTGTTTATTTCCCTATTTCTTCAGTTCTATTGTGGCTGCTCTCACTAACAGTGAAGGCCTGTAAACAAGTTAGGGTGAAGCCGACACTAGCCCAATTACTTCTGACTGTCTCTAAAATAAAACCACTTTCTCTGTTGCTTCCTCTTCCCCACTCCACCCCCAACCTCTGTTCTTTTTATTCCTCTCTCTGTTTATCTCAAATATGTCTATTTCTGTCAGTTGCTGACATTGTCTGTGTTTTTATAAATGGTCTTTTATCAACTCTCATCCTAGACCAGCACTTGGTGCATTTATCAGTCCACAAGAGAAAGATGCAATCTCTGACCTGTAGTATGCCACAGTCTAGGTAGGACATATGAAAGGACATATGAAAAAAAGTGGGATACCAAAGGAAAATTTTGAAAAAAAAAAGGCAGTTATATGGAGATTGAGTTCTGTAATAGATCAGAGGATGCAGATGAAGTCCTACAGATAGGGCCAGGAGGGTTTCCTAGAAAAAGTAGCATTTGTGCTACATTTGGATGAATAATTCAGTACCAAATAAACCAGGAATGGAAGGGGGATATTTTTCTAGGTGATCAGAACCAAGTGATCAAATACAGAAGATGTGAAGTGAGAGTAGGTGAGAGGAAGACCAGTTTGTAAAGGGAAAATAAGGGTAAGGAGAAAAGCCTTTGGGAGGAGTATTTTATTGTAGCAACTGAAAGTACTATAGTGATAGAAGGGTTAACCTATAGTCATGATCACTGTCTGTCTATATGATCAGCTCACTACCTTTCTCCTCTTTGAGTTAATACCCATCAGTCTTCCAATTCTTCTGTCTTCATTTCTCCCTCAAAGACACAAGTACTTTTCTGATTAATCTTACCAACGTAGATTAAAAGTACTTTTCTGATTAATCTTACCAACGTAGATCAACGTAGCAGATCTTTTACAATGCCACTGGGTCACATGCTCTTTTAGCATCAGTCTTCCTCCCTTCCTCTGAATTGCAGCCACATTGATCCTCTGCAGCCCCTAGAATGAGATAGGATTTCTCATACCACAGACATTTCTAAGAGCTATTTCCTCTGCCTGGAACACTCTCCTCCCTCCCTAATCCTCCTTTCACCAATTTAATTCTTATTCCTCCTTCAAATCCTATCCCAGTAATAATGACTTCAGGGAATCCTTCCTTAACCCCTAGTTTAGGTCATATCCGCATACTGTATGTCTTACAGCATCATGAACCTTTCATGTATTACATTTTTTACTGGTATATTTTACATACTGTTGTGTTATTTGTTCGTGTGACAATTTTATTAACATTGATCTCTCCCAACTGTAAACTCCAAGAGGATAGGATTCATATCTGCTTAATCCAAAATTGATAGTGGTGTTGGCAAAAATTATTCTCCCTGACCTTCTGTTTTACAAACCAAAGCAACAACTAGACTGTTTTTACTTACCAGCTAAAAATACATATAATTTTGCCAATTTTTAAACAAATTTACATCAAGATGTTATTTTAGGCCAAAGAATACACACAGAAAAAGAAAACAAAATCACATTAACAACAAAGTACTAAGGTTTATCCACTACAATCCCCTTTTCCTTTACCTCACTTATTGCTGCAAACCTTAGAGTTTTGCTTGCTCCAAAATTTGTAAGATGGAAGGGGGAAAATAAAGTTTTCCTGGGGCTCTTTTCAGTCAGCCAATGTATATATGTAAAATGTAACTCAAAATGTCCTTTTAAAAAAAGAGACATTCATTGAGTTGTTGATGTCCATGCTACTAGGGGAGGAAATGAATATGCAACTTAAAAAGTGCATTCAGAACTATCTGGGGGCATATGCACTTCATTTTTTATCTGTTTGAAAAGAAAGTAACTGAAATATAACTAACATTCAACTGGAAATATAAACATTTGATTAAGAACAGCCAGATGCTTGGGACCTTCACACTTCAAACCCAAATCAATTTTCTTTTCTGCCAACAATATCAAAGGACTGGGTGAAATCACCCATAGTGCAAGTGATTCAGCACTATGCTAGGTTCCCTAGAAACAGTATAAACGTAACCAAAGAATTTTAACCATGCCTATATGGGTCCAGCTAACAGTTTTGATAATTTTGATAGTCTTTAAATGAACACAGTACCTGGACCATGTTTTAGGGAAAGGGAGCCAGTTAATTACTAACTTCATATTAATTAGCGGATGTCTTTTTTTCATCTGAGACAGGGTCTCATTCTGTTGCCCAGGCTGGAGTGCAGTGGTGCGATACCTGCTCACTGCAACCTCTAATTAGCAGATGTATTGAAGTCTTTCAGGAAACAAAGAAAGGCAAAATCCTGGATCCTACATTCATTTCTTTTTTATACAATCTTCTTTTGCTTCAATGGAAAAAAAAAAAGGATCACATGGCCGAGTACCCAATCAGCTAATTTAGGACACTAGATCTCTGAAACGGCATAAAATTTATTTTCAAGCAAATTCCCTAGAAGATTTTTAGTGTATCCTTCATACTAGATTACATTTACTTCCTAGTGTTTTATCAAACAAATGAGCTTTCCTTCTCACTAACTGATTCAGCTTAGAAAACAAGTTTTCATTGCTAGAAGTGGAGCTAGTAGTTATAGAAAAATAAGCTTTTTTTGTTACTGTACTTTAGATTCTGGGGTAGCAGATGGTGAAGGATTGTTGCATAGGTACATTCATGGCAAGGTGGTTTGCTGCCTCCATCCCCCCATCACCTATACTTGACATTTCTCCCTATGGTATCCCTCCCCACCCTCCCTCCAACTGTCCCTCCCCTAGCCCCCCCAATAGACCCCAGTGTATGATGCTTCCCTCTCTGTGTCCACATGTTCTCATTGTTCAACACCCACCTATGGGTGAGAACATGCGGTGTTTGAGTTTCTGTTCTTGTGTCATGAGAATGATGGTTTCCAGGTTCATCCATGTCCCTACAAAAAACACTAACTCATCGTTTTTTATGGCTGCATAGTATTCCATGGTGTACATGTACCACATTTTCTTTGTCCAGTCTATCATTGATGGGCTTTTGGATTGGTTCCAGGTCTTTGCTATTGTAAACAGTGGCATGATGACATACATGTGCATGTGTTTTTATACTAGAATGATTTATAGTCCTACCCAGTAATGGGATTGCTGGGTCAAATGGAATTTCTATTTCTAGGTCCTTGAGGAATTGCCACACTGCCTTCCACAATGGTTAAACTAATTTACACTCCCACCAACACTGTAAAAGTGTTCCTATTTCTCCACATCCTCTACAGGATCTGTTGTCTCCAGATTTGTTAATGATCACCATTCTAGCTGGTGTGAGATGGTATCTCAACGTGGTTTTGATTTGCATTTCTCTAATGACCAGTGATGATGAGCATTTTTCATATATTTGTTGCCTTCATATATGTCTTCTTTTCAAAAGTGTCTGTTGATATCCTTGGCCCACTTTTTGATGTGTTTGTTTGTTTTTTTTTTCTTGTAAATCTGTGCTAGTTCTTTGAGGATATTGGACATAAGCCCTTTGTCAGATGGGTAGATTGCAAAATTTTTTTCCCAATCTGTTGTTGCCAGTTTGCTCTAATGGTTGTTTATTTTGCTGTACAGAAGCTCTGAAGTTTAATTAGATCCCATTTGTTTTGTTGTCATTGCTTTTTATGTTTTAGTCATAAAGTCCTTACCTATTCCTATGTCCTGAATGGTTTTGTCTAGATTTTCTTCTAGGGTTTTTATGGTGTTAGGTCTTATGTTTAAGTCCTTAATCCATCTGGAGTTAATTTTACTGTAAGGTGTCCAGTTTCTGCTTTCTGCACGTGGCTAGCCAGTTATCCCAACACCATTTATTAAACAGGGAATCCTTTCCCCGTTGCTTG